TGCGTTAAACCTCGTTTTACGTTTACTATTTTTCTTCTATCCTTATGCCTCGGATGATGAGCTGGGGAAAATAACCATTAAAATTTGCACAATAAACGTTATTCATTTCTAAAGAACTTCTTAATTTAGCATATATATACATATATATTGGGTATGACCGGCTGATGACGGCTAATAAACCAGAAATAGCCATGCATTGGCTTAAACCCTATTGACTATGACTGTCACCTACTATAAATACTCTGAGGCGCGGTACAACCCCCACCTCTGATGACGGAAGCCTGTACGCTTTTGTGAAACGACAGGAAAGTAACTATGCTTTCCGTGATTGCCTCTTCTTCTTATTTATGCCCGGGGACTCGGATTTTCGCTTCTATTAGCAATATATATACAAGGTGAATTGAAGAAGTTTCTTCAGAAAATCGATTAGTAATCGTGAATTTGTAAAGCACGTAACAGCGACTCATCATCAGACGGTATGAATTTGGGGATTGGAGCTGGTGTTTCGAAAAAATCCTATTTATTATTATCGGAGTGTTAAGGCACTTGTTCCTATTTGCCAAGAGTTGTTTTGTCTCGTCGCCTGTCTCCTGTTATAGGCATGGCTGACGCACGAGCTCTGAGCTTAATTTTGTCCGTGGATTCGCTTTCGCCCCTCAATTACGGATGGCTGGCGCTCTCTTGTGACCTATAATGCCCCTCTGGCTGTTATTATAGCCGCCAAGTCTGTGTGCGCAGCAGGGCGCAGGCTATAAGATCGTGTAGGCGTAAAAGTTGTCACTTCACGTGCAGCGCACGTTCGCTTTTTAGGGTTCGCTATCTAGGGTTCATCGATAGGTAGATGATTAATGTCCGTCATGTTAGCCGCGACTGGCTCTTTCCCGTTTGACGCAGCGGTCACAAATCTTGATGATGCAAGTTATTCACAAACGCCATCGACCTCGTCTGGACTGACTGGAGCCTTGTACGGAGGGTATGATAGGTGGGATTTAAATCAATATTTATGTTACTAGAGCCGAATGAAGACCAAGTTTTGGAGCATTAGCCTGACCATCTTGTCTTTGCATCAACCGATGGCTTCTGCGTCCCCGCACGCGAAATTGCTCTTCTCCTGTTTTATGTGGCCATATGCCCGCGGTTGACTACCAGCTGATGTTCATGTAACCATGTGCAGAGGCGTTTTCTCGTTTCGCCAGTGTACATTGCACTGAAATTTCGGCACGGTATGCTGCAGACCAGTGCTGATTGTTTTGTGGTCGGTAGCGGGTTACTGGGTCTCATTAGCAAGTCCTGGACAGTCGAGGACTTTTTATAGGTCACTAGAATTTGAAAAGGGTTCAGAATTCATCCCAATGACTTCGACAGATTTCTCTCGTGGGGGATCGCCAGTCAAAATTTCGGTTTATCGTCGTTTGGTTGTTCACGACTTGGCTTTCGTCTACATTCACGTTAGAAGGATTGCGGGTAACCATTATTTGTAAACAGGGAGTGTGGGTTCTTTGTCTCCTCATTTCGCCTGTCGGCATCGCTACAGTGTGTTGGAACCCGTTGGAATATAATACTCACGCGACTACAGTAGACTGTATATCTGATTGAATCTACAGATCAGAATTTGAGTGTGAGTTTTAAGACACATTCAAGTTTGTGTGATTTGTTCATTGAATTGACTTGAGGTGCAAAGTTCTGTTTACTAGAAAAGGGTTAAGTTCAGGTGAGTATACTGGGGACAAATAGAGCCGGAATGGGGCTAAATCCAAAGTTTTTTAATATCCAAGGTATTTCCTCAGTTATTAAAGGCAGCGGGAAAACATATTGTCTGTGGGTGTTTTACTGTACAAGAACAGTGATAATAACCAGAAACTTTTTAATCATGTGTGTTCAGAGAACAGGTAATTTTGTTTCGTCTGTACGAAATTGAGATGAATGTAACCATGAGATAACGCACTGGCAGAAATGGGGGCCAGCAATCTTGTTCTTCTTAGATAACGCATTATTTTCAGAAGAGAGATGGCGAATTATTTTTAACGAAATCTATTTTGCAATATTGTTTAAGTGTGGGCTATGTAATTAAAAAATAAACTAATGGAGCTGTAGTTTGCTTATCCCCACTGAAAAAAGGAAGCATTAATACAAACACGCGATACACGTCGTCAATTTTCTCTGTCCTGCCGTATGCCAAAGCTATCCAAGCATCTTCTATCTATAGAGCTGAAGTAATGAATATGAAAAATTGGAACGGAATGGGGAGAAGGTTATTAGTTTTCTCAAAATCGTGGTTATTATTTTGCAAAACTTATCTGCTTTTCTTACCTTGAAACTAAGCACAGATGTAAACAAATATGCACTAAACTGTCCTTGTATACATGGAAAAGGGTGTTCTTTTATTTTTGGCACATGTTTCCCTAGGTTTTAGAGACGGCAAAAAAACCGGCCGAAATTCCCCATTTGGATCTTTACTTAAAGTTAAAGTAAATTACGTAGGTATCCGACGCCGAGATCAATACTAAAGGTGCTTTTTCAAGAGGTAGCTTGATATATAAAACTTCTTGATTAATCGTAGGCATATTTGTTCGCCACTTCTGTTGTAGGCGCTTACATTTCTCAGCAATGAGTTGAATGTTAGTACTTTTCTAAAACCACGAACACAACGGGCATCTGCACAGAACGCATTGTTTGGATAAATGCATTTACGAAATATCTTATTTTGAAGGCTTTAGTAAGCAAGCAGAATATGCTCCTTACTCATTGCCTATCAAACGAGGCTAGTAAGAATCGTTAAGTATTAATTCCCATTCCAAGAACGAGCATCAGAATTGAAATCCCAAATTAATAACAATGAAATTTGACAGAAGGAATTTCTATTTCTGTACAAAAACGGTACTTTTACGATTGCGACTTACAATTCTATTAATATATATTAGCCACCGACCGGCATGTCCGCGTCTGGGCTTACAAAATACCTTATTCCTGTGTCCTCTGAATCGGTAAAATCAAGCGATAATCTGGTTGCCTTAATGCAACGTGAACCAAGCAATCTATAAGCAAAAGAAACATTTAGCAATTCTCGTGAAACTGTATAAGAGTTCATAATAAAACTTTGAAATATCCAGTATAAGCCATTTATTACATTGAAAATATCCAAATATTTTACAAAACGATTATTTTCTGCAAAAAACTAAAACTATAGCTTACCTATTACGCTTCATTTCCACTTTTTCAAAAATCTCCGTTTTGTTAAGAAATCGGGTATTTCTAAAAAAAACGTCCTATTATGTGAAAAAACGCCATCTAGTCCATTTTCAAGAAAGACTGTAACTTTATTGCTGTAAAACTTTAGAGGCCGCTGTTAGTCTAAGCTCGATGCAACCGAAAACGATTGGAATGCTAGCTTTTAACTGATAATTTAGATGACTTAATGCGATTTACCGTAGCCTGGATAGAGTCATATTGAAACGTACCAGGTGATAAGAACAAAATCATATCCGAAACATGGACTATCTGTGCGAATTCCGCTCAAAGAATGTCAGTAAAGAGGGAACCAGAATTCATCTACGCACAGTTTGGCAAGAGCTGATTAAAATAGCTAAGTTTGTAAAATTGTGATCATTGCTCGCATACTGGCATGAACGCATTTAAGAACACTTAGAAATAACAATGAACAAAATTAGACAAATTTGATAGTTGATCCCTATCCCGTAAGCCTCGGGTGAATTCGGCGCACTGAACACCGCACGTGCGCACGCAAACCGATAGCGTGACTTGAAAGGGTCATGCTAAGGCTGCATGCGTCCGTTAGGACGGCTCCTAACACTGTCACTTCCAGACTCCCAGTCAACTCAACAGCTGACAGCGTGTCAGCTAAGTACAACAGCCAGCAGCTAGTCCCAGGCCCGAAGCACACAGGTAACTACATGCGGAAAATCAGAGGAGCAGGTTTGGGAAATTACCCACTGAATGCACATATTCACTCACATACCTTCACGCATGTCTTACAGAAGGCCTATAAGATCGACAGCGCTTTATGTTTCCAGAAGGGGACGACAGTTAGCACATCTTAATGAGTACTTGCAGACTTGCTAGCGAAAGTGCAAAAAAAGAGCAATAAAATAAGAGTACATCCTGGATACGCAACCCACGTTTATTACCTAGCACATGACTGTGATATGTCTAGAAATGTTCTTAAAATGAACACCGAGGTAGAGTCTCTTAAATCCGTTATTCAGCTCAGTGCTTTTACGTATACCATAGTTCTTCGACTATTGAGCATTCGCGTCATGGGAAATGTGATGCGTTCCATTCGTCCAGTAGAGTTGCGTAGGCCTCGGATGACGCTAGCCATTACGTTGTCATGAAGAACCGCGAAATGCTTTTAGGTAAACAATCTTTACCATTTGGTTTTCTTGGTTGGAGATTACTTAGTTATGCATCCATTTATCTTACTATCATTACCAACATACTGCGTTCATAAATTCAAATATATTCTACCGAGAACGAAAAATTCCTTTCTTATTCTCATTTGGTAGTAAATCACTCCTTATTTAAAACAATCTTCTGCAAATGATAATCGATGGTGTCGCTTAGCATGTTCTAAATCACCATGTAAATTTATGCGAGCTGTCCTGGAAGGTAATCCTTAAAAACAGAAGCATCGCGAATAACAAAATGGTGTCATGTTGGATTACAGATGACGTATGCTTATTCACAGTATATTTAACTCCTTCGGTTTTGCTGCGCAGCGCTATAACCACAACTCAAACAAGGGACTATTCAAAACCTTCTTATTATTTCCTCTAGAAATTTGCTTAGTAGACAGCTGCCTACCCACAAGCGTAAAAATGTGAAATATTGAACCAGGTAACCTTTTATTTAGTTAAGTCACATGTGAACATCAGAGGTTTGCAATAATTACAAACAGATAAATGATATAAGGAAGGCATTTACAGGCATTTGACGTAGTTGGGAAAGATGAATTGGAGGTAGATGGGGAAGATTGATTGGAGCTAGATGGGGAAGATGGATTGGAGGTAGAGGGGGAAGGTGGATTCAAGGTAGATAGAGGAGGTGGAGGGGAAGTAGATGTGTCCTGGAAACTTATTAGCGTTAAGTTCTTCATGAAAGCGTGCGGCCCTGGATAGACGTTAAACTTCTCAGTAGCGTTCGAAGTAGAAATTATTTCATACCGTAAGATGTCATTGACCATGTGTCCCGTAAGTAGAATGGGGTTCTTCCCTCTATATTTGGCGGACTCTGTCGATATTAAAGATAAGAGCAGTCAGTTTTTAAGCAACACAGATCTTTATTTTCTAAATAACCTCGGGAAATATGCCTAAACCGGTGGATTTAGGCCTCAGAAGAGTATTTTGAGAAGCCATCCATTTAATCAGAAACCTATTTGCTGTACTAAAAAAGCTTACATATTTTTAAGCTTACAGCATTGTTAGGAAAATTGAATTCGTGTACCTTCATGTGATGTTGCATTGAGTCGAATTGCCTAAGAACTTTGCGCAATTTTAAGTTTACGAAACAGCTGAATTATAAAATGTAATAGTTATAAATCTCTTTCATGAGAATGGAATCTTTGGCAGCTGGTGCGTCATGTCAACGTACCATAGGGGACCGTCAGCCAGTATCTGTTGATGTCTACCGCAACATCTGATATATCTATACCTCCACCGACTGTTGTATTCTAAAAATAGGGTATTTTAGTGAAGTAGCCAGTAGTCTGTACGATCCAGCGTTACCGACATTACGTAGACAAAATTATCTTTCTCACCTGTACGGGTTCGTCGTACAAAACATACATAGTCTCCTTGGTTAAGGCCTCAAACACGTATTTCTTTCCAATATTTGTTGGCAGTTCCGGTTCTGTGAGGCAATTAGGGGATATATATATATATAACGGAAACGTTAAAATACAGTTTTCCCAAAATTTCACTTTTAAGTAATTCTGGGTTTGAAAGTCAGACAAAACTGTTCTTTAGAGCCGCCTAAATATATTGTGCCTCCGCCCAACTGCCTAACGCAATTTGTGGTCAAACACTTAATTATTGCTAGGCGAGTGAAAATGAATGTGCAATTGTGATGGAAGTGTCATAAATATTCAACTAAATAACTCAAATTTGTTTGCGTTTACTAAATAGAATCAAATCCACCAACTTCTGCTGATGAGACACCTGACACCTATCGAGAGAAAGTCAACATTACATTGGCGAAATTTAACAAAAAAGGAGAGTGTGGCTCCTTAAATTTGAAAGTGGGTTATGTGATATGTTAAAGGCAGATAGGACCTATAAAGATAGTCCTACCGAAACCCATTACGAATTGAAACTGTTGACATTGAAGAGTATCCCCTAGATAATTACTTCCTGGGAATTTTCTACGCAGATTTAGTTACCATACGAGCAGTATTATCACTCTTATTAAGTTGATTTTGGCAGATTTGGTTAATTTAGTTGACCCAGTTGTGAAAAAACTCGCGGCATTTTTTCACAATTGGGTCAACTAAATTAACCAAATCTGTCAAAATTAACTCAATAATTAAGTCAGCCCAGTACTCATTCTGGTGGATTCTAGATGATTGCTTAGGAAATCCTGCTTAGGCAGTCACCTTTCTGTCAGTTATTGGTGGATTCCAGATGAGTGGCAAAGTTGGGGGGGGCAATATCGATCCAATTGTGATTTAACTCAAGGTGTGAAGCGCGACATTCGTTGCTCAAGTGGCGAGTTTTTTCACAATTTGGTCAACTATATTATCACTTTGCTGTCTGACTCAAACACCTACTATTAAAACTAAATGTGGCAAACTTAAAAATAAAATTTCACTATAAATTGCAGTGCTCGTCAAATAAATAAAAATCAGAAGTACCATAGCTTCCTCGTTTCTTTTTCGTGATGATTGCGGTGGGGGATGTGGTTTTGGAACTTGGAGTTAACACAATGAAGCCATTTGCGTCGATTACGTTTGCTTGCAAAATTGAGTAATCCGTATCTGGAAGGCAGAACAACGTGCATGCGTACTTACAGTATGGCTGGGAATTTATGCAAAAGTCTTGACAGAATTGGACTAGGTACGTAAGCATACACTTGGTCAAGTTAATTTGATTCAATGAAAATTAAAAAAAGATCCCTCCAAAACAGCAGAATCTAGTCTAAAGTTAATAGAAAGCAGATGTCGCCACTTCTACAGAATCGTAGTGTTTCTTGGGAAACAAAAAACGATTAAAGTTTTAAAAATTACTCTTTGCCAATGTTTAAAATATTTTTTTTGTCAAGAACTAAGTAAAAGGTTTTGACCGCATTCTGACTTTGGTACGGTAACCAAAGCTGCATAAATAATCGCCTCCGTACACTATAGTTCAAAATTCCCGTAAAAATTAGGCAGAATTGGACTTAGTTTAGTTTATTTATATTATCCGAGTGCAATTAATTCTTTGAAGGGCTTTTAGTAAGAAAAAAACTGCCGTTTGATATCAGTGTACTGAGAGCAAAGGCCAATAATTTTGGCGAAATCTAAGACAGCCTAATGACAAAGAGGTGTCCTCTCCTATGAAGATTTTGATATATACGTTGATCTGACTCTATATTTATGAAGAAAAGCTTGAAATTGCCGAAAACGCTCGAAAATATACAGGAATTTATTGAAAGATTTTAAACTAATTGTTTTCCAATAACGGAAATATGCATATAAGATTTGACTGAAGGAAGATTACTTTGAGAAAGAACAAGTGGCAAGTTTATCCATTCGACTGCCTGCAGGGTTTAAACTTCTGTTTGCTTTTATTTACAGAAATGTTTCACGCCTGTGGAACTAGAGTATTATGAAATAATTTTATTTACAGTTTTCATGTTTTTTTAGTCAAATCTTTGCCGAAGGCTGTTAATTATTATTTCTAAGTTTTCATACATGTATAAGAATCTTTAGCAGACTTCGGAATTTCGCATATATTCCTCGCCATATTGTACTGCGGTAGGAATAATCACCTAGATACGCAGAATTTACTGCAAAATCCTAAATGTGACAGAACTACGATAGACAATATTTATATGTGGAGTCGTCTAAGGTACTAAGGAACTACTAGTGAAAACGTACCATTCAGTAATTGCCAACATGAGCTATTTATTTGGCAGGGTTTATCGCGTGATCCTTGCTCCACTTTTACACTTCCCGAGTACACTTCCTAAGTTAAAAAAAATGGAAACCAGTGCATGACCAACTTTAAAACGTTGTTTTATAGGCACACTGGATAAAAATTGTGAACTTACTCTTGGCATTTCGCTTGGGAAGATCAGTTGCGCAAAATCACTATCAACCTGTGCTGAATGTTGATCTACAAAAAAAGGAACACACTGTGAACAAGTCTTTACGAAAGAGCGAGGTAGTGATGGAGGTAGTGCTAATGGCGTGATGCACTTACCCTTAACGCAATTGACGAGTGGAAGAAAAAGCAGGAGGATAAGCATTCCTACTTAAGATAAAATAGCTGACAGTTTTTAGGGTTATATATATATATATACGTGAAAAAAGAAGTAGCAGCAAAGTGCACACAAGCGCGCCACTAATAAAAAAATGGATAATGCATCGTAACGTGGGCGTGCAGACTGCCAATAAAGTTTTGGAATGTGTAAAGTGCAGGTACTGCACGATGGTCGTCGGTGACCGTACTCAGTTCGAACTCAGACATCGGTTAAAATGAGACATAAACTCTTTGAAATAAATTAATAAAAGTTACAGCTGAGCCTCATAGCTCAGTTGGCAGAACCTTGGTCAAACTCAGGGTTTTCCTTGCTGGCGTGGTTTCAAATCCCACCGAGGCATCCGAATATTTCGCAAATGGCTTAATTGAGTTAGGTTTAGCCTTTTAATTTCCATATAATTTAATTTATTTGTGTGGCATACACCAGCATATCTAAGGTCTATAAGCATAGACCGAAATTATAAGCGCATATATTTGGACTGAAACCGTTCAACTGCTGCCTACCATTCACCTGCCACCAACATGATATTGTAACTTGTCATGCTAGGAGTCCAGGGACTAGCTTAAAGAACCAAATACGTGTTTCGCCGGTATTTTGCGGCTGCTTACTTATATCTAGATAATTTGATGTTCAGTGTACAACGTCGCATGTTCTTAGATGATTTTAGACCACAAGTGTATTTGCCCATTTATTAAATAATTGTGTAAAATAAAAGTGAGATGGAAATAGTAGCATTAATTTTTTCGAGCTTGCCAGATATCCTTTACAGATGACAAACAGCTTGCCCAAATCTAATATTTCTTCCAAAAACATTTTTGTGTACATTCAGCGGTTAAATATTGGAACCAATATAACGCAGTGGTTAAGTTAAAACCGTTGCCGCTGCGATCTTAAGGCCCGGTTTAGTGTGGAGAATAAGCATAATGTCAAAAGGCGAAATAAAAAATAGGTAGGAAGAAGTTGATAGTCGGACGAGTGCAAGACTACCCGCGAAACCGGCGCGTCCGACGTGTGACAGCGACTGAGCGCGTCGCTACAGGTCTAGGTGTTTTAATTGCACACAGACCCAACGCTACCATGCGCAGCAAGATGATGCAAACAAAAGACCGTCGTAAGCCAAGTGAGCAGTGTGTGATAGTGTATCGCACCCCATGCGTAAGCTGTCCTTGTAAATACACAGGCCAAACTGAACGCATGCTCGGATCGTGCAGCTCACACCAATAAAACAGGCCATGAGTTCAACTTCGCGGCCATCAAGGTACTCGCCCAAGCGGGAAACAAGACAAGCAGAGAACTGATTGAAGCCTGGACCACGAACGAGAATTCAGTCAAGCGATGTGTCGAATTGGCGCCGGCGTACAGAGCCTTGCGCAATTACGCACAATCACGGTCAGACGTCCGTCCCAGTTAATTGAGCCCAGTGCTGAATAATTGCTCCAGTTTTTTTTGCTTACGCCCTGATAAACGTTGCAATCACTGACGGTTAATTGCCTCCTCCCTTTCATCGCTGTTTCTTACCCCTCAAAACCTGATGAGGCTTGATGGTCGATTGGTGTACCCACACTATACCTAGCCCCTCTTTTGTTGATATTCCTTAACTCTGACGATGAACCCCTGTCAGCGTTCGAAAGCTCAGTGTAATAAACAAAGTAATCCGGTTCTCGACCATCCTTCATTTTTACTCAGAGGTTGTACTAGTCGTTAGTGGTCATGGTTGGTGCATTGGCTGCTTGTGCCTAGATCCCCAAGGTAGGTCTGATGCATCTGCCTCGCAGCCCGTTTAGAAGGGGCTGCGGTAAAATATCGCAGTCCAACTATATCACAATTACATAGTCCACAGACAAGTTCAATCGTCGATGTTGACAATGTTTACCGTGAGCCTCGCAGCAGAGTCGTGCAAGGACGGTGAACTGCGGTGGATTGTAGTTACAATAGACTTGTGTAATATCTTCTGCACAACTTCGTCAAACGAGATGGCCAAAAAAGGCGCACCGGCCCCAAAAATTTGTTGAGCGATTCCGTACGTCAAAAACGTATCGGAAGCCGTCGGCCGCCTTTTCGCACTACTTGGAGTCGGAGTCGCACACAGGCCGGAGTCAACCATAAGACGTCAGATTATGAAGCCGAAAGACCCACTGCCATGACTAGAAACATCTGGGTTCGTCTACAAGATCTGGTACAGTTGCGGTCAAAGCAACTATGTCGGAGAAACTGGCAGACTTCTCAAGACGCGAATTGCCGAACACGCGGCAGGTGCGGCGAAGTGATTTAAATTCTCAAGTTGCGGCTCATTCGAAAAGACCCAGCCACACATTCAAAATTGCTGAGGCCGAAATTCTCGCAAGAGGTGACAATCGAGTGAGCCTAGATTTACTTGAGTCATGGTTCACTGGCCCCCAATCCATAAACAAGTGCAACGATTTGCCAAATCCATTTTCAGTGTTGAGACTTAATTTGGCCAAAGCAAGTCGTCACTTGGGGAACTGGCAGACCACCGCCTCATCTCACGCCAACACCAGACAGCCAGACGGCCGAGCAATCATCACGCCCGAGCCCGTTTGCCGTCCAACAAACTGTCTTCGCGCAAGAACGCAATTAACGTTAATTGTCGCTGTATGTTTGCAGTAATGAC